TCGTCGTGCCTTAAGAATTAAATTGGATACTATTCGTCCAATGAAAGAACCGGCAGGAATGTTCGCCAATTAAGCCTGGGAGAGAGAGTACAGGTACGATGTTACGACAGAAATAAGCCGACATGGAAGTTAGGAATGGTCATTCGCAAGTTTGGGAATCTACACTACCAAATAAAACTGGATAATGGTTATGAACTGAAACGTCACATCAATCAACTGTACAAATCCGACGTTCCAAAACTTGAAAATGTGTAACATTCGCTGATGAAGTACAAACAAAAACTAAACCTGCCTTTGATGAAATTAGAATTGAGCAAAGAATTGTCAATCCGATTAACACTCCCATCATTCCCCAACCACAAGTGTCTACACCAGAAACACCAACAATGTTAAGACGTTCAAGCCGAACAAGAAGACCTCCTGTTCATTTATAAGACCATATTCAATATTAGCCTGGGAGATTGTGGTGTATTTCAGTAGTTACTTAATTAATATTGGGTGGTAACCCTGTAATGTTAAATGTTCCCTTGGAATGAAAATGTATCTTTTTGTACTAAATTGTTAATCGTTACTTTTCAACTATTAGCCATGGATGTTAAGTTATTGTTAGCATAACGCACTGCCATTTTAATCATCAACCAGTACAAACCGTTCAATCACCATTTTAATATTTTCTTAAACTTTGTTGTGTTAAATATTAAATAAAGAGTTATAGAGTTAAATCTTATTCATCGCGTGCTGATTTTTATTTCAAAATACACAACATATATTCTGCTTTGCCATCCATCACTCCATCTGTGGTCTTGGTGGCCTCTCCGAAATCCCTTTACAAGAGGTGGATTTTTCCAACTCTTCAACTAAATTATTGCATTGACATGATATTGCTATTTTTATTATGGGATTTTCCATTTTTATTTTATTAACCAAAAAGAAAAACTCTTAACAAATACAATACAATCGACATCAAAAACTGTAACGATACAATCAGAGCCAATACAAGTAAACGTCGTCGTCACATTTTCTTAAAAATGCCAAGAACCTCACAAATATCGATAAGTGCTAATATTGACAATTCCAATACCGATTCGCAACAAAAGCCGTCGACCTGTGCCGGTGTCGATAAATAGAATAACGGCTTTTGTAGCTTCCATTTAACTCACTGTTCCTCCATTACATTAATTCTTTTTTATAAGCTGGACAATTGTTTTTAGTTGGTAATTTTCCTGTTTAAAAAGATTATTTAAATCCGTTTTTGAAGCAGATGGAATAGGTGCTCTAAATATTTTCGGCTTCGGTAACGGTGTGCGAGCATGATGTAAAAAGGTGGTATCCAAATTACTATTTTCTTTAAGGTTGTTAATTTTAAGACCTTTGAAGTGGTAGATGTCTCATCGAGAGTATATATATAAGAAGCATCCATATCCGTCTCTCTTTTTTGCCCCCTCAGTACCATTAACACTTTATAAATACCACACAATATTGCAATTGATTCCTCGTCAATATTTGTTGAGATGACAACCCCAGTTTTTTTCTTCGTGGTGCATTTCTGCCCACGTCTTTTCCATGTATTGCAATCTCTGGTAGGTGGTCCCGAGGAATTTAGTTTTTCAGTAAATTGTTACCAATTTGTTTCGGATATTACTTGATCACCTTTGATATAGCCCTTCGGTAGGTCCTGGTTTCTCTCCATAAAATCTATGGAAATTTTTCATGTCTGTGCTTGCCCTTACTTATTAATTAGCATTTCAAAATACTAAGATGTTTTTACGTAATATTTTTTTAGTTGTTTTTGTTTCGTTTTATCTTTTCTTGAGATTATCATTCGTAATGCCGGACTCTTTAATTGTCACAGATAAATAATTTTCGTTTGGAGGAAATATTATATGGCAAAACTTTGTTAATAATAGGCTTCGTCGACTGAGTAACAATTAAAATTTACCAATTATTTTAAATATATAGATACAAAATGTAAACTTAATTCTGTATTTGTTTTTAAAACAACATTTTTATTACTGTATTGTGTTTTGAACGCCAGTCTTTTTCAAAGTTAACGAACTTCAATTCAAGATTCGAGGGATGGTAGATTTTTACAATTCGAGCGTTAATGAAAAGTTGCTTTTGTGAGAGAGTTTTGGTAAAACTTCAAAGCTAATTGAATTATGTACATGACTTCGGTTTTTGGGCTTACGGTAGATCCATCAAACTCAATGCGACTTGAAGGTAGTAATGTCAAAGACCTAAAATGTCAAAGACCTAAATTGATGCGAAAATATATATATATTGCTATATATCTATATATATATATATATATATATATATATATATATATATATATATATATATATATATATATATATATATATATGTATATATATATATATATATATATATATATATATATATATATATATATAGGAGGAAAATGTTTGTATGTTTGTAATTTATGGTCGAAAACCGCTGAATAGATTTTCCTGAAAATTTCCATATATACTGCAACATCGCCTGAAAGTAACATAGGCTATATACATTTTTGAATTTCCACTTGGAACTGGAGATATAGCATAAGAATTGGAGGTACCTCCCAAAAATTTAGATTTTATATGCACATATCTATTGATTGGTTGAAGATACAGTCTCCAAATTTGGAATACGTCACGGAATTTGGAACAAAAATAAGTTTGCCAAATTATATTGTAATCGGTTCAGATTTGGATATAGCTTCCATATATATTTTCGACCGGTTTCGTTCATTTGATGCCTCAAACACAATATGAATGTTCGATTCCAATGAAATTTGGAATGTGTGACGGAATTTAATCAGAAAATAAATTTGTCAAATTATATTGAAATCGGTTCGGATTTCGATATAGCTCCCATATATATTTTCGACCGATTTCAAGCATTTGATGCACCAAACACTCTATGTATCCCCAATTTCAATGAAATTTGAAACGTGTGATAGATTTTATCTAAAAAATTGATTTCCCAAATTATATTGAAATCGGTTCAGATTTGGATATAGCTCCCATATATATTTTCGACCGATTTCATGTATTTGATACACCAAACACGATATGTATTTCCAATTGTAATGAAATTTAAAATAAGTAAGGGAATTGGGAGCCAAAATGAATTTGTCAAATTAAATTGAAATCGGTTCAGATTTGGATATAGCTCCCATATATATTTTCGACCGATTTTATGTATTTGATGCACCAAACACGATATGTATTTCCAATTGTAATGAAATTTAAAATAAGTAAGGGAATTGGGAGCCAAAATGAATTTGTCAAATTAAATTGAAATCGGTTCAGATTTGGATATAGCTCCCATATATATTTTCGACCGATTTCATGTATTTGATGCACCAAGCACGCTATGTATCTCTAATTTCAATGAAATTTGGAATGTGTAGCGGAAATTAAAACAAATATACATTTGTCAAATTATATTAAAATCGGTTCAGATTTGGATATAGCTCTCATATATATTTTCGACCGATTTCATGTATTTTATGCACCATACACGATAAGTATGTTCGATTCCAAAGAAATTTGGAATATACAACGGGATTTTGATTAGAAAATAAATTAGTCAAATTATATTAAAATCGGTTCAGATTTGGATATAGCTCCCATATATATTTTCCGCCGATTTCACATATTTGATGCACAAAACACGATACGCATTTCCGATTCCAATGAAATTCGGCATGAGTGGCTAAATTTGTTACAAAAATAAATTTGACAAATTATATTCAAATACGCTCAGATTTTATTATAGCTCCCATATATATATATACTCAGCCGATTTCACATATTTGATGCACCCAAAGCGAGAGAGACAAAATCTGGCACCAGAAAAAATTGCCAAATTATATTGAAATCAGTTGAGGTTTGGATATAGCTAACATATATATTTCGGCCGATTTCATATATGTTATGCACCAAACATGATATATATGACCGAAACCAATGAAATTCAGAATGTGTGGCGGAATTTGGTTACAATAATAAATGTGACAAATTAATTGGAAATTTGTTAAGATTTGGATATAGCTCCCATATATATATATATTATCGGCCGATTTCACATATCTGACGCACCAATTTCAATGAAATATGAAAGGTGTGGCGGAGTTTGGTGTAAAAGGTTTTTTTTTTTTTAAATTATATTTAAATCGGATCAGATTGGGATATGATTTTAATAAGAACCATTGACCCACAACGCCTTAGGCTAACACTAAAAACAACACAACAATTGATTATTACGGCGAAGTATGTTGCTATCTCGAATTCACTAATTGCAATAGAAATGCCACTCAACTTCAAAAGATTGCAGTTTACTGTACGCTTGGTATTTACTATGAATTAAATAAATCCGAAAGACAAACCCTTCGTGTATGTATGTCATGTTACTGCTTTTCTAATGGTTTTCGTTATTTACGCGTTAAAGTAGTGCATATATATATATATATATATATATATATATATATATATATATATATAATATTAAAAAATTCAAAATAGTATTACGGTAAGGCACAGAAGCGACATCGACAGTTTAAAATAAAAGTTGTTTTCCGTATTTTCTCTTCCAAGTGCACGACCTAGTTTATTCAGTAACTTTTGAAACTGCATTACATTCGCGACAGACCCCCCCCCCCCCACCAAAGCGACAAAGTCATTTGCTTCAAAATGCCACCTCCAGTAATTTTAACATACTTTTTGCCAGCCATCGGAGTCTCTAATCGAAGGCCCGTTTACATTTAATTTTGTAGCAATGGATTCCCAATCTGGTTTAAAATTAGCTGGAATATAACTTTGGTAAACCCTTTTCCAAACATTTTTTTTTTTCAATTCGGAAACCAAAATTTCCAATTGTTTCGCTATTGTTATATGATGATGAAATATCAAATACAAAATGGTTACAATATCAACGCCGACTAAAAAATATATACCCTAATGTATTCCTTTTTTGATTTATTTATTTTTAAATAGCCCTGCTGAAACCAGTCTCCTTCTAAAAATTATTCGTAAAGGTTTGGTAGAGTCGAAGTTGGATTTAGAAGTCCAACGCCAGGATCCGTCGTCGCCTTTATACTCTGTGAAAACATTTGAGAAACTTCATTTGTAAGTATAATATGTATCTGCATATGTAAAATGATATTAATATATATCTTCTTTTAGAAAACCTGAAATATTAAAAGGAATATACAACATGGGTTTTAACGCCCCATCGAAAATACAGGAAAATGCCCTACCTATATTGTTGGCAGATCCGCCACAAAATATGATAGCTCAAAGCCAATCTGGAACCGGAAAAACAGCAGCGTTTGTCCTTGCAATGTTAAGTCGAGTAGACACGAAACTAGATTACCCTCAGGTAAAATCGCACTAAACACTAAAATCTCCCCCGAGGAGTACATAAGTGTTTCCCTATAAATTTGTAATACTCTAAATGTTTGATTCGACGCCATTTCGATGTGTACAAATTTATAAGGTAACAACATGGTAATATAAAAAGTTAGTAAAAAATTACTGCATCTTGATCGCTCTCTACAATGACATACAAAACAAGCTTAATACTTTATTCAGTGTTCTAAAACTTAAAAAAGCTCAACAAAGAGTTAAACCCTGACATTTGGGATAAAGGGCAGCAAATGCCACATATTTCTCTTTTAATGCCATTGAGAGAAAAAGCTCGTCATGTTATGCCCTGTTTGATCAAACACAGACACGTGACATCCAACTAAATGCTCAATGTCTCGTCATGTCGGTCGGACTCAAAGCCGTCGTCATAACATGTATTGACCAATAAATGGGCATGTTGAATAGCGTGTCTTAAAATAGCTTGTTTCAAAAAAATAGCAACAAGATGATACAATTATCAATGAAACGAGCATTCAAATAACGAGGAGGGAAACCAAATTCCTGCTTTTACGATTGCGCTGTGAATTCTTAGTAAAAAAATAATCTTTTGACACATTTCTGCAAGTAAATTGCAAAACTATCAGATTCTTGCAGGTTCTGCAACAGCATTTTTTCGAACGTATACCTCTGGTATAAATATATAAAATATCAATAAAATAAATTAACTTCACAAAAATGTTATCCAATTTACAATTTATTTATTGTTTTATGATCCGAATTTTATGAAGATGTCAAAAAAAAAGAATTTTCAGCATATTTTCGTAATTAAGAATTGAGACCATTTTCTTCAGTGAGTGTCAGACCTATGTCGAAAATTACAAGAATAGGCAAGTTTACACAAAAAATATGAATTTGTACTTAATTTTATATTTCCAATTGTGTTTATTGCTCCACAATAACAACGCACACTCAAACTGCTCTACCGTCGGAGCAATATACACACACTCAACTTAAGCACACATACACAGGTTAGGTGGGCAGTGGCAGAGCAAGTGTTCGACTGTCTCGATTTCTTCTTCATCTTGACTGATCCTACAGTAGTCAATGTCGTCGCTGTCCCATTTCGAGGTCATAGCCCTCACCTTAAAATGACCTGTGATGATACCCACCACAAGTTTTAGATCAGGTTTCCACAATGACAGCAGCGACCTTGTTCTCTTCTCTGAGAGTGTGGGCCAGATTCTTTTGGGGATGGTGCATCCCACTTCCCAGCCATTTTTGTTGGATTTTCTCAGAGTAATGTCTATGAATGACCTGTAGGAAATGGCACAGTGGTGGTTTAACCGAGTTGTCTACTTCAATTGTAGTTGATTCGGATCCTAGCCTGGCCAATTCGTCTGCAGTCTCGTTACCTGGGATGTTATAATGTCCAGGAACCCAACAGAGCTTGATGGACAACCCAGTGTTTCCCAAGGCTTTCCTGCAGTTCAAAACAGCCCTAGACTTGATATTAAAGGAATTTAAGGCCTTCAGTGCCGCTTGACTATCGACATGTATAGTCACCGGACCGCTGACCTCAGTGTTCCTCGTGACAAGCAGGTCTGTGGCCTTTTTGACCGCAAAGCTTTACGCTTGAAATACGCTACAGTTGTTTCCAAGCTTGTAGGATTCACGAAAATAAAGGGTATCACAGAAGACTCCAGCTCTCGTACCACACTCCATCTTAGAACCGTCGGTATAAACAGCTATGCCGCGGAAAGGTGGGTTGTTATGGGCCCAGGCGGTGGGTTGTTATGGGCCCATTTTGTGTATGTCAGGTGGGTAGAGTGTGACGCGCCCACCGTGATAGGGTGACTAGAGCTCCTTGCATTAGGTCCGAGATTGTTTGCAGGAATTTCCCGGCAATTAATAGGACGACACATCAGCGTATGCGACTACTTTTGTCCCTGTTACCTCTAGATCTATAAGTATATTGTTAATAACCAAAAGCCAGAGTAAGGGTGATATGACGCCCCCTTGCGGCGTGCCCCTAGTGACCGATTTCCTGACGGATGTTTCCCCAATGCTCGAGTTGATGATTCTGCTGCTAAGCATAGTATCAATCCAGTCTATGAGGAGTTGGGGTACCTTAAGTTTTGATAGTGAATCATGAATGGATTCTAACGTGACGTTGTTGAAGGCTACCTCAATATGGAGGAATGCAGCCAAGGTGAATAAGGAAACATTCATGTTCTTCTCTATATAACCTACGACATCATGTTGCTTTGTTTCAACAGATTTACCTTTCATATAGGCATCCTGAGCAGTGTTGATGGCGGTCTTGGGTAGTAGAGATCTGATCTATGTCTATCAGCCTTTCCAAAGTTTTCAATAAGAAGGATGAGGGACCCTTCGGTCTATAGTCCTTAGGAAGTGAGTGACTCGGTTTCCCCGCTTTGGGGATATAAGTGACTGTGACTTCTCTCCATGATTCCGGGATGTAGGATAAACACAGACAAGCTTTGAAAATCTCCCCCAGTATTGGGGATATTGACGCTGAGACACGCTGGATCATATCGGGAATAATACCATCTGGTCCTGGGGATTTAAAAGGCTTGAATGTGTCTATAGCCCACTTAATTTTGGGTAAGCTTACAATTCTGTCAGCCAAGTTTTGGTCTCTAGCCACTGTTGATCTCACTGTTGTACTCCCGGATTTAGAATCCATTCTCGCCACCGTAACGTCTCCTCCACTGCAGTTGCTAAGGAAGATAAGATTTAAACTCTTTTTGGCAACAATACACGTCCTTATCTTATCACCATTGGAGACCGCATAAGAGACGTACTGCCCACTCCCTAGTCCAGTTACCCTATTATTGTATATATAGGGTTCCTGAACCAGAGCTATGTCTACTTCAGCTTTCGAGAGGGATAGGAGGAGTTCGGCAGCAGCTGCTTTGCAGTGATGCAGATTAATCTGCATGATGCTAAGTAGCCGCTGTTTTCTTCCACCTAATGCAACGGCGTTAGACGGAAACGGATCCATCCAGCGCCGAAATGCAATTTTTCCCCCAAGAGATTGAAGGTACTCGTGGCCATCCGTATCCATAGGTACTTTGATGAGCAGGCCCCCTCCCTCAGTGCTTGAACTGACAAGACGCCAGTTGTCTGTTCTGCGTGCCGGATCCACGGATGGTGGTGGCACCCAGGCTGTCAATACCTTACGACAGGGGATGTCCTTTAAGGATACAGCCGCCAGATCACAGCCTTGCCAGAGGTCGCGAAATCCAGATACTGCGGTGACCAGATAATCCTTAGATTCCTGGTTTTCGCAGCACATGACTTTCACGCCTCTGTAAAGGGTTGCGCTGCCAAACTGAATTCCTCTTGGGTCACCTTCTCCCGTAAAGACAAGCTCCCTCAGTCGATCTTCGAATAGCAGCCATCGACTGCCGCTGATTTTACCTTCCGGTTCAGCCTTGTCGATAGTTGCTACTCGAAGATTGTCCGGGTAAATGGTCTGAGAGTACTTCCTCTTCCGTCCTGTTTTGCCTGCCGTTTGTGACTTGACCTCCTCTTTGTGGACCTTATCAGGCTTATAGCTTGAAGGGGCTGGTAGGGCCGGTTTGGTCGCGACCGACTTGCTGACGGACGGAGTGGAAGTTGTAGGTGTAGGCCGAGAAGCCGGGGTTGTAGATGCCTTCTTGGGCTCAGGGTGTGGTTCCTCTGTAGACCGAGCGTGAAGAGGTGTCGGCTTTCGTTGGAACTGCCGAGGCTACGGCTATCACGGGCTCCGGTTTCTTGGTCTTCCTGTTCCTGCGCTTTTTGGCAGGTGGGTTTGACCCAGCAGGTTCAGCACTAACCGTCACCGCGTGAACAACGACCGTGGTGGTCTTGTCGTCGGCGGTGGATTTTCTGACCTCCGCTGGGCCCTCAGCAGAGGGTTGAACCACAGGTTGGTTTACCCTACTGCTGATAGCAGATTGTAGGAGAGGTAGAAGAGTCCGATTAAGAGAACAGCTTGGTAAGTGCGGGTGGTTCTTTTCGAACTTTGCAATTACCTTGAGGTTCATCTTAATCCGAATCCTCTCTCTCTTCGTTATCTGCGCGGGGTCCTGGCCGATAAATTTCTTACAGTAATTTACCGACCTTTTATAGCCTCGCCTTGCTTTCGCCTCATTCGGGTTCCTGCCAGTACCTACGTTGATGGCGTCTTGCCGATCGAGGCTTGTAACATCGGAGGTGACCGACAATGATCCCTCCTGGATTTGTGACTATGCGCAAGTTTTGTCGGGAGTGTTCTGAGCGGCTCTTTGAAATGACTTACCACTTTGAGACGAGGAAATGACCGTGATGTCAAGTTCCTCATCAGAGAGTGGTGAGTCATTTTCAAGGCCAGAAAGAATACTTTCCTGACTGAGCCTCAGCGTTTTTGTCTTTTCCAGGAGAGCGGACAATTGTTCACCATGTTGCTGAATACTTTCATGGATGACGTCACTGTAATTCAGTATTGAGTCGTCCCCTCCCGAGTTGAAAATAGTGTCATTGGTGGTTGTTGGGGCTTTGTTTTTGATTGTATTATTTATCTCCATATGAAAAGTCGGACTTGAAGGAGACAAGGTCCGCCATGGCATAGACTCCCTACCATGGTAAGGACTTGGCAAGTAAGCCTGTTACTCACTGAGACGCCCAGGTATCAGTGAGGCAACCGTAGGAATACAGTCCCTGACTGCAAACCGAGGAACACTGATGGGCACGGTTTACGTAACACCCCAGCGTTAGGGGGTCTTAATCTTCGGTAGACCAACACCGATCACTGGATAATTTGAGGCGGCAGTTGTTCGCCTCGTCGAACCAGGGATCATGGGCACTCGGATATTTGTTCCGAGACTCTCCCCCCGGTACCGCTGAGTTGTCCGCGACTGCCTATTTATTCGCAGCTGCCCAATATATTTATTGGGACGCATCCAGCTATGCTTCCGACAATTGGCCGGAAGCACACGTACACAAATGACGCACAATTATGCCGATGAC